GCCCACTGCCACGCAAGGAGAGCTCAGTGGGCCGTCCTCATATTTACCGGATAAGATGATTCATTTCAGAAATCACTTTTGGCTGGTGTATGCACAATTAGCCTTATCTCCCCATCAGAATAGAGCCATCAGGACTGTTATTGATGGTTAATTTCTGAGTTGGGGAAGAAATCAGGGAGGCAACCACCACGATCAGATAATGTCACTGGTGGTTAACACCTGAATAGGACTACCTGTGAAAAGTCAGGCTGGGCTGGGAAAGAAGCACACCCATCACAATTCCTTGAAGTGTAAAGCAGTCTGCAATAAAATAAATAAATAAATAAAGCATCACACAGAATAAACAAAGCAATACGAGACCAATCACAATGTTTGGAACAGGGTTCCCATGTAGTCTTACAACATGAACTGTAGTGTGTCAGAAAATAACAATAATAATCTGCTTATGCTAGATGAATGCCCCAGCATTGTGGTGCTCACTAGCACTATCACCCTCTCCTCTCCTCCCACTGACATCAACAAAGACTTCCAGGTTCTGGCCACATCCTGGAATAAAATATCCCTTGTCTCTTCCCTTAGGTATCTCAGTACCTTGCTCAGTCCTTCAAAACGTATACTGCAAATTCCATGCAGGAGTAGACAGAACTCCAAGAATGGGCTTTGTGTTCACCAAACCTTTCTTCAAAGCAAGCAAAGAAGTCCACACAACACTTTTATTCCCAGAGATGGTTTTATTATCTTAGAAATTAAAAATAAGCTCTTTCCAGGAGAGAAAGAAAACAAAACCCCTGAAATATTTCCAAGCAAATTTATTCCCTATCAACACAGGCAGAGATACCTACTTCATTCATGAGCATGTAAAAAAAATATTTCTTAAGTATCCTTCACACATAATGTGCATTAGTCTCAGAATTAAGCACATAATCAGATTGGCCTCACCTACTCTACCTAATCTTATTTTCCCATTTTCTTTTTCACTGGAAACTTCTGTGCAGAAAGCACAGAATCTCTTTTTCTGCACAGCATCATGCATATTCAAGGTATTATGGATGGTCTTGGAATTAAATTACAAAGTAGCAGAATTTGACAGACAGTTGTGTGCCAAAGTTGTTACATGGATGTTTACACTGACCCTTACTGGATGCCAGGCAAAACTTTCAAAAAGAATAAAGGTAATTTGAAAGGAAAGAAAGCAGGAATCCCTCATATACAATCCCGTAAGATTCCTGTGCAAAATAATTTACAAGCCCAGTAATTCACAGATCTTGCTCTCCATGTTGATATAAAAGCTCCTACCAATTTCATTCAGGACAAAATAAATCCCTAAAGACAACAATGCCACTGGATGTGGCAATATACTCAATATACCAATTATCAATTCACTCACCTTTGGGAAGAGAAGAAAGATCAGACCTCCAGCAAGGCTACAGGCTACTAAAGAAGGTGAATAAGCACGGCACTTTACCAAAAAGAAAAAAAAAAAAAAAAACTGCAAGAGCAGAGCTTCACTCCAACTAACTGCATAATCTCACCATGACCTAAAATTGGAGAGTTATATGGTCAATGAACTCCTCAATTGCTGCTCAAGGCTGCATTAACACCTAGTAAAATCTACCTGATTCCTCCAAAGACTATATTGCCTGAGTCTGACCTATTGAGCTAGACTTGACGTTTCTCTATTTCATGCATGATAAATGCTACTGTAAATCTAAGAGATGTAAATGTTTGATGGGGAAAGGATCAACCAGAAGGTAAAGCTTACACATGCACAAAAAGAAATTTCAAGCACACAAATGTCAGAAGTAACAATTCTCATAACGGGAAACAGGAAGTAGAGATTTTACTCTGATAATTTTTTTTTAAATGTACAAGTCAAGATGATGCATTTCTAATCTTTCTGCATAAACAAGCTGCCTACAAAGAAATAACAACAGATTTCTCCTATACTACAACAGCACAGTAGACTCAGTAGAGGGAGAATTTCCACTGTATTTAAATACTTAACCACTCCAGCTTGGCTTGTTGCGCACATGTTGCAGCATGTGTGTGTTAGAGTGAAATGGGTGTGGAAAGGGGGATGTGCAATACAAAGGCATGATTAAAGTAAGACAGAGCACCTGTACTTAAGCAATATAAAACTGAAGATTGAGGCTTAAAAGATTTAACAAAAGCCCTGGAGAGAAGCAGATTTTCATTCTTAGCCCATTCCAAGTTTGGCAAATGAGCTAGTGATGCTGGCAGCAGCCACTTGGTCCTCTAGGTCCTGGCAATGGCACAAGGAACTCTCCTTAGGTATCCTGGTTTCACAAATAACTTACTACAACAGTCTGGCAAAGCAAACACACTACAAGACTTGAATACAGGTGTTCTCATACAATATCCAAGGCAAAAACAAGGCTCAAAGCATGTTGAGCCTTGAGCCCCCCAGTCAGATCAATTCTCTGTGTTGCTAAGATCTCTGGATCTGTTGTTTTAGATCAGATAGGCAGTCTACACTTAGCTCACTGCTGCAATTTCTATAGAAAGCACAAGTCAACACACGGAAGAAGAGAAAAATCATGTGCCAAATAAGGAAAAAATCTTCTAGTTCCTGAACAGGAAGGGTAGAGTCTGTTAACTTAAACTATGTTGATGCTTTCAAAGTTTCCACTAAGCTAGGCAGAACTCAGTTTATGGACAATAAAAGATAGGTGATAATAAAACACCATTAACAATTAAACAATTAATAACACATTAATTTCTACTTCAGGGTCAGATAAATGCTGTCCTAAAAATGACTCTCTCCATCTACAAACGGAGCCCAGAGCAACATATTAAGAGGCAGAGATATGAGTAAGATTACCTCAGCTAAACCACCTGTATTTTCCCATAACAGTTACAGATTATATACATCTGCTGCACTTCTTCACACACAGAATTTTGTTTAAAATCTAGGATCACCAAAAATCAAAATTGAAGGAAAGCTGACAATTATTATAATATTCCCAAAGACTCAAAGTGGTTTTCTTTTCCTTTTTTTTTTAATATTCACTAAAACAAGAACAGACTTCTAAGAGCTAAATATTACTATTCTCTTTATAAAAAGCTCACATAAAAAAAGGAGGCTCCAACAACTGATATCGATATGGAATCCTGCTCATAGGCCCCTGCAACCACTCGTTCTCCACAGGCATGCACAGCTTTTGCTCTGGGGCCAATGATGCTCTCAGGAGGTGCCACATTAACTGTTTTTCATACCAACAGGCCCACAGGAGGATGAGTTTCCTACGTGTGGTGTGGGCACCACATCCACGTCTCGAGATGCTTCTAGGCCCGGGCATTTCCACACCAACTGCCTGTCCCAGAGTGCTGAGCACCCAGTGTTATCACTGGCAACTGCTGAAATCGATGCGTGCCATTAGCCATCAATACCTCTCGCTCTTGGCAAGAAGCTCTGGCTTTCATTCCTGGGCCAATTCTCCTCTTGGTTGCCACTGAGGGTGACTGACATCCATCGCTCTCAATATGGAGCAGTAGCTGTGCCCATCCGATTCCAGCCCTATCAATAGGTTTTGATATCGAAATATCAATATATATCCAGGCCTGGGAGCAGGCATCCATGGCTTTCACTCTCGGGATGATCAATAGGGTACAACTTCAGTATCAGTTCATAGAGCTCAAAATAAAATAGTTCCTTATACATCAGTTCTCTGTTCAAACTAACTGTGCTTCAAATGGCTAGAATTTACGCCCCAGAAGGAACCTTTAAAATTGTTAAGTGCACTTTTATCTCCAGTGTCCATTAAAACTTGTGGTCACTCAATCTTATTAAACATAGAGGAATTTTATTTTTGCCTTGTATTTGTATAAATTGGAAGATATACACAGTCTGGAAGAAAAGAACTAGGACTAGACATGCTGTTCAAAAAAACAGCAACAACAACAAAGGAAAGTGTTATGCCTGGAGCTCATTCTTTCAAAAGATAAACTTGCAATTTTAAGGACAAATGGGAGGCAGGGTAATTCTTCCTTGAACATCCCAAAGGGTTTAAGGTATAGGGATTTTTTAAGTGGCTGTTCATTCTTGATTCATGCTCATTCTATCTTTTTTTTTTGAGAGAGATATTCACTGAATACAGTTAAAGAGCCAGTTGATCAACTGAGGATTGTGCAGAACAGAAAAAAATGCCATCAGTCAGCTGGGCCATAGAAACAAGCAACATATTAGATTCTGTTTCAAATAAGTTGTCAAGATAGAAATTTTGAATAGGAAAACTCAGCTAGCCTGAAGCTGCTGCACTTCAGTCCCACGGAATGAAGAAAAAGTTTTCATTGTCAGCATCAGCTCTAAGCAATAATAGAAACTGTTTCTCTCTGGAAAATCCTTCCTTGAAGAGCCTTGAACAGCTAGCCATCAACTTCTCTGGTCATAAAACTAACAAAGAAACCAGGGGCTAAGGTCTACTGCACTTGCTATTATAAAGGAGGAATTGCTTGAGAATGGGAAGGACCGTGTCCACTTTTGCGCTCCCTCTCATGAGAACAACATGGATCTACAAAGTCCACTAAGAGGACTTCAAGGAGAGAGCACAGCATGCACAAAGACAGGCTGGGGAAGCTTTGCTGAGAAGCAAAGGCTAAAGGGAAATCTTGCTGTTTACAACTACCTAATGGGCAGGTTAGAGAAAATGGAGTAGGACTCCTGTTGGAGGTGAACAGTGTTAGAACAAGAGGCAATGAACACAAACAAACGGACAACATGAAAAATTCTGATCAAAAGTGATTTTTGGTTGTTGTTGTGTTGTTGTTATTTTTAATTATGAGGATGATCAAATATTGGAAAATGTTGCCCAAAGAGGTTTGCAATCTACATTCTTGGAGATATTCAAATCTCAACAAGACAAGACCCTGAGCTACCTCTTCTAATAGGTCCTGCTTCAAGAAGAACATTGGACTGGAGACCACAGGATGTCCCTTTCAACCCATATTATTCACTACATATCAAACCTCATCAAAATATCATGCAAGATCCCTCAAACACCGGGGCCAGCCCTGTTTATATATCATAGCCATCACAGCACTCTCTTTGCTCATTTCAAGTCTGCATTACACAGCATCAAGATTAAATAAGAAGCTTCTTTTTTTCTTTTTCACATCTTCTTCATCTTTTTCTTGCAGCGCTGGTTGAAGACAGGTGAGGATCCCATCAGACTGTCAGCAGAATGAGAACCATAGCTGCTCTCAGAGCCATTGGGACTCTGTGGCATGCCAGCTTCACTCATGCCCGACATGGGCTCCTCAAAGACGTCACTGCCTAGGACCCCATGCCCAGGTACATTGCCCTCCTCATTTTCCTGTGGCTCCATTTTCACCTGTGCCAAGGTCCACAGAGGGGAAGCATTCACCTCAGCCCCTGCAGAGAGAAGAAGCACAGAGTAATCACAGAGTAAAAACATAACATTCAGGGGAGGTGGTGGGGGTACAGAATTCAAATACAACTTTAGAGAACACAGGGACATGAGAACTGCTCAGGCACTCAGACTGCCTGCCTTCTTGACACCTACAGGCCTCATCCCATCCATCTGTAGAAGGTAAAGAAACTCTCTTGGCTCAATCTTACACGGAGCAGACGGCCTGCCAGATAACAGGCCATTGTCAGAGGTCAGTTTGCCACAGTAATGGATTGCACATTAATTTAATGGAACTAGCCATGCCAGTTGAGGACAATTAGGGAGGGGCAGAGAGAACAAAACAAAACAGAAAAACATTGTGATAGTGAATCCTAGGTGATGCTTAGAAAGAAGGGAGTTGAAAATCAATGGAATCACATGGACTTTTTTTAAATGACTAATTAGAACAATTATATTAAAACACATGAATTATCAAACCTTTCATCTAGATTAATTGCATGATCTTCCTTTGATTGCTATCATCCTCCCATCTGCTTTTCCCTACTCTCTCACTAAACTCATTTAATGCATTTAACCTTATCAAAAACACTGCAAGATAGCTTAGACAGGATAAAACTACAAGCTTTTAAGTTTGTGCGGCGTCTTGTATTGTAAGACTCTGAATGGATTTAGGGCTTTTTAATAGTACCAGAACATTAAAAAGCTATAATAATTTGAAATCTTGAACCACATACACTTTTAATAAGTCTGTGAAGGCTGAATTAATGATCAATCACATCTTTACTCACTGTGTCATTTGTATGCTCCCTTTTCCCACTAATTCTAGCCAGGACTAACAGACCCGAGGCACGATATCCCCAGAATTCCCAAGCTGATTGCAAACAACAAATACCAAATCCAACTGCTTCTCAGGAAACAAAATGGTTCAAAATATAGGCCTCAAACTTAATTCCTCTGTCACTTCTTCAAACCTAGCTCAGATCAGCAGCAGCTCTAAGTTTTTATCACACAGCTGGCTAGACAGGCAAATGAAAGGAACCTTTCCATTTTAAATAACTCCACAATGGAAGGTATATCAGTCCATATCAGTGTTACAATTTGTGATACTACTTTTTCTAGTTTTAGATTAGTGTGCAGTTGGAGCAGACAGAGGACTTTCTTTACAAGAATACAAAAGTGTACTTCTTAAAAACAGAAAATATTTTATCCTCAAAAGGAGTAATTATAAATCGTATTATATTTGTTTATTTATAGTTTTTAAGAGATAAAAATGCTACTATTACAACTGATACTAATTGGACATCTTGCTGAGAGAGACATAAACAGACCAGAAATTAATAAAGCTGGAGATCTCCACTCACTTTTAAATCTGATCCCTTGAGTGTAGCATTAATTTCACATGGAAAATGAAACATAAAATAGGAAAACAGCTAAGGTTTTCCAAACCTTTTGTCTCAAGGGGCTTGGCTCCAGTTTGAAGCACAGCCAAACCTCATGTGCTGAGCTAAATCTACTGCGGTTCCCTATTACTAGTAATTATATAGAAAACAAGTCTTCCATCATATGTTTGTACCGTGAACTTTCCCTTATGAAGGAGTTGGGAATCTCTACCAGAATAGCTTAGCCCATACCAAGGCTTAGGACATCTTTGTGCAGAAAACATCGCCCACTGTTCAGGACTTATATAGCAAGCAAGAATGAAAGTGCTTGCTAATGTCCAGCAACCTTAATGAAAAGCCCCCTTAAATTAATGATGAGTGAATGTATTCCTCTCAAGGACAAGGGAGACATCATTAGCATGCTATCAGTTCCACCAAGTTACAGCCCTAGTCAACACAATAATCAAAGGTGCTCACTAAATTTACTGTTTCTTTCTTTCATCAATTGCTCTTCATCACTCAGGTTTATTTCTTTCAGCTCTACCACCTGTCATTGAGAGTGTCACCAATAACTAACACTACTTAAGCAGGGACACAGGACATTTCATCTTCAAAGCACTTTAACTTCAAAGTACTTTACAAATGAGCTAATCTTCACATTATACCGCTGGGAGGAGGAACCAGATCCCGCATTTTCCCTCCATTTCCCCATTTGCAATTAAATTAAGCACCTAGCCCACAGCTGGTCATAAGCAGAAACACAAGTAAAACACAGAAAGTTGTAATGTCAGCTTTGCTCTCAGACAGTGATGCATTGCTGTCCTCTCCATGGACCTCACATTTGTATTTTTGAGATAGTCCCAACTGTAGCAGCTTTTTCTCACTCCATGTGATATTACAGTCTTTCCTGCCTGCCCAGCTTTAGCCCCGGACCTCTTACAGTGATGAGATTTCCAAAGGCCCTCGTGAAGCAAAGAGGGATTTTCAGGGAGGAACGGAGCACTTGTATTCTTAATTTAAAAACATCAATCAATATCATAGAGGCCTCCATAGCTGTTAAATGAATTTAAGTGAAACATTACTGCAGTGACTGTTGGAATTCAACAGGTTCTATACAAAAATCAGAACAGACTATATTTGGGAGTGGAATGCTTTCTTCCTTTTCCCTAAAACTTAGCACTATGAAATAGTGCAGAGAAATAAGTTTGTATATAGATATAGAACAGACACAGCAATGGCATATTCTCTCACATTAGCTACCAGGATGCTGGTAGCTTTAAGGAAGACTTTGAGGAACACAGTGCATCTCCATAACCCAAATGCTTCATTCATCATCGCATTCTTCCTGGCTGCAGGAGAAGACTCTAAAACAGGTGAAAGTCCCACAAGCCCAATTCACAGAAATCACTGATAAGAGTTCATGGAACAAGGGTCGTTGCTACTAGGATGATGTCCAAAAATAGAGGATAGAAACAAGTGTCACTACCATTCTCCCTACTCAGTCTGTGCCTATACCATATAGGCACACAAGGAATATGACCTTTAAGTCTTCAGAAGCATGCATCTCTGGACAAGAACCCTAGGGTACCTGAAAAAATCCAATTCTCCTCCTTAATCACAAATGAGGACAAAAGCCCCTTTTCTTTTATTTCAAACTTAAAAAAAAAAAAAAATCCCAAAGTTATTTTTGTCTTTGTTATATCAGACTGCCTAAAAGCTGCCAGAAATTACATCTACAAAAAAAAAAAAAAAAAAAAGCAGTTTTCAAAACAATAATACACAGTCCCTGTGTGGGTTAACAAACTAATACCTTTGATTCTTTGTTTTGTATTTAGAATTTAAGCAAGGGGGGTTCCCCATTACCCCCTAATATTTTTATTATACAGTAAAACATTCTTCTCCCTCACCTTCCTAACATTTAGATTTGCTATTAAAAATTAAACAAGACCACGTGAACAACTGCGAGTCTGATACCAGCAGTGATGGTAACACCTACCTGAAGCCTGCGGGGAAGCTTCTACTTCCAAGTTCGCAGAGAAGCGCTCGCTCTGAGCTCCAAGAACTCCCACTGGCAAAGACTGGTCACCAGAAGCCAGATCTCCTTCTAGTTCCTCACTTATGGGGAAGGTGATATCACTAACAGGTTCCTCCTTAATCTTCACAGGCTTTGTGTCTTCTGCTGCCTTTTCAGGATTGACAATCTTCTCATACTCTTCCGAGAGCTGCTTGCTAACCTGTAAAAGATCATTGAGGGGAGAAAAAGAGGACAAAGACTTTAGAGTAACTTCAGAGACTCTGATACCAGCTACATTGCCGTATGTTCGCTCTCTTCCCAAAATATTACTAACATCTCACCTAAGCAAACAAATAAACAGGTTCAGTAAAAATTTCCCCCTCCTTAAAGAACAACTTTCTGTGTCAGATTTACTTCAGCATTAAAAATTAAGAAGCTCACATATTCATCAGCTTCTGTAGTCCCCACTGGCAAAGCCTGGTTACCTTCTGTTAGATCCAGAGAAAGAACATTGTAGAAGTTTTATCCAATCAGACAAGTGAAACAAATACAGAAATGCAGTTTGGAAAGAGCTCTTTACTTCTAGAAATTAAGGAACAGTAAGCAATTAAAAAAGTAAACATTTCAGACTTAGCCTTGTTTCTAACAGGTGCTACTTTGTACCACTGAATCGCAGCATTCAGGGAACGGTGGTCAGGAAAAGCCTGAGGCTTTTACCATAAAAAAAGGATGAAAAAGAATAGCAAGGACTATTTCCTCCTTCTAGAGATGTTTCCAAATACAAAGGCTACTGTGTACCCCAGTTGTGCAGAACAGTTCGACCATCCCCAGCTCCAGGATGAGACTGAGCTGCATCAGCAGAACAATGCAGTAGACCCAAATTCTAGCAGCAGAGAACATCTAGGTGTCAGAATAGAACTGCTAACTACACTCAGTGTTTTATAGCCTTTCAAATTAAAATAAAAAAGGACTAATGCATCTTTTAACTAACTATTTTTAAACAAATACAGTGAGCCCCCTTGAAAAAAAAATACTTCTATGAAGACGGATCTTGTTTATGTCATTTTTATGTACCAACCTCGGGATCCTCAGAATTGTGAGGATACTGTACAAATTTGCGGGTCTTTAGTCTGCCTCTGTAAGCTACAATGTGCCACGCCCAGGAAGAAAAAAGCAAAATTTAACTGTTACAAAAGGATGCAGTTTGCACTCAGGTACCATGAGGAGGAGTAAGGTGTAATCCCTGGGAAGATTAGATATGGCAGATTATTTCTTTGGTCGTGGACTAGCTACTTGATTCAAGCCTTGATTTTTGATGAGTAGGAACAGAATTCTCACATCACATTCCTGTATTTCTGTGAGTCCATAAAATGCAGAAAGTCTCTTATCATTTAAATAAAATGCACATGTTTAATTTCATAGAATACTCAGCTCAAAAGAAATTATTTCTTTATTCTTACAACAAATGTTTATATGGCACCTCTCATTCTAAGGAGAATTAACTATTCCTCTCCTTTATCAAAGAATGGCAGTTCCCTCTGGATGGGAGGCAATAATTGTTCAACTGCTCAGAGCAGTAAAATACTACCCTACACTCTACCAGACTGAACTTCCTGTACAGCTTAAGCTACTCCCCTGCGCAAGCCAACCAAGCCATTGTAGAAAATTTCTGGTTTTCTGCTTATTAGCTCTCTGAAATGTGAAGCAGGCAAGGGCCACATCAAAGCAGAAATTCAGCTGATCAGACAGTACTCGGTTTCCTTCTACTTGGTATTCTTGTTTGGGCCATTGAGATGCAGATATGAGTAAGGGGCTCTCTCTTCTAGTCAATATTGGAAAAAAAAAAGTCTTGTTTTCCCCTTGCCTTGATGTCTCTCCTTCACCTAGAGGTTTTCTAACCACATTTTAGCACAGTAAGAGACAAGACTTGACAGATGAATAAACAATTGCACTGGGGTTACTTTTCTCAGCACTTCAAGCAACCTTCTGTTCCCTTCACCTGAAGCATGTAGCTGTGATAATCCTTAATGCGGTGTTGCCAGAATTTCTGCAGTGAGAGCACACTGCCAATGCCCACTTCATGGAAGACCTGTTCCATGACATCAGGGAAAGGGGTATGGCCAAGGCGAGCTTCTCGATCCACTGCGAAGCGCAGCAGCTTGGTGAACTTCAAGCAGTACTCGTGGGCAATGTCTGTAAGGGTCTCCAGGACACTCTCATTGGCACACTCAAAGCCGGTGTGAGCAAGGATGGTGGCCATTGACTGGTAGAGAAGCTGACGGCAGGAGGACCAACTCAGTTCCGTCACAGGCTCCCCTTTTCCTCTGAAAGAGAGAGAGGACAGAAAGTAGCTTCCTTCCAAACACTGACAGAAAGTTCAAACCAGTTTAAATTGCACTCTCATTACTAAAGTGAGCTATGAAGCATGAGCATTTCAAACTTCATCCATTCACAGTCAGACAATTGAATTTTTAAGCAAGATGATTTAGCAGATAGAAACTCCACAGAGGAAAAAGAGAAGATAAGACAAAGGCTTTGAAAACCAAAAGTACTTAAATCAGATTTCTAAACTCACAACTAAATGTATGTAATTTATTTAGCCATGTCAGTAACATTGTCTTCAGATGGTAACTCTTTTCTTATTTAAAATGAATTAAAGAACATAGACTGCTGTCTGGCACTCACCAGTTGAACACATCTTATGTTACCAAAACTACCAAACTGATAATCATCAATAAAGAACAAGTAAACAGCTGTTATTGACTCTGTAGTATTCACACAAAACACTATGGCCAAACCTAAACAAAGCACAGAACTGCACAAAGCCATGCAGGATACTCCCCTACTTCTTCTAACCTGGAATGCAGCAACTATTTAGCAAAGCCTATCATTGCTCAGAAGCAGTAGAAAACACCAGGTCTGGTTTAAACTCCCGGTGGAAAATAAACTAATTGCCAAGATTAAAATGCAGCCAAGTCACTATGCTGAAAGAGATGCAACCAATTTGAAATCTAAGCAATTAAAGACAGAGAGAAAAGAAATTCCAGCCACTTGAATCCAAATTTCCACTTTATTGTGGTGAGATCAATCAATTTTGTTTTGTTTTTTCTTCCCTTGACTTCCTGTTTCCCACACCCACCTAACAAGGGTGCAAACATACAGAAATAGACATAGACAACACACTGTAATTTAAGATAAGCTGTCTAATTTTAAACCTGCCCAAGAAGGATCATGAAATTTCTTCTTTTTCCTGACCATCATGGTTGGAGAGCCTTGGTCTCAGATGATACTGAAAAGCCCAGCGTCTCCAAAAGCAGCTTTATGAATACTGCCATTACACAGAAGGCCGCTTTCTGCAATACTTAATGCTTTCCTGAAAGGCCCCCATTCAAAACTTGGCCTTTCTAAACACACTATCAATGTCACATAGTTGCAAGTAAGTAAAAAAGTAAAAGACAGTTTTCATTCCCAAGATTCAGTTACAAGAGATTAACAAGGATAACTATTAGGCCTGTGACTTCCAGATCATAGGGTCATAGAATCATTATAGCTGGAAAAGACCTTTAAGATCAAGTCCAACTGTAAACCGTTCAACACCATACCTGCTAAACCATGTCCCTAAGTGCCTCGTCTGCACGTTTCTACAGAAGGTACAGTATAAAACTTACCACAGATGCTCTGAAACATGGTTCGACTTGTTACTCCCCAGTTTTGCTTTTTTTTGAAAGAGATCTAGATTTTTATGGGTCACCAACATTAGATGATGCTACACGATTAAACCCACTTTGCCTCCAGCATTTGTTTTCCTACCTCAGTACGGACATTTCCTAACCACAAGGCATGAGCTGTCTTCCCATTGGGAGCTCCCAGTTTCAATCACAGATAAGCTTTCAATGCAAAGCATACATCTAATGTGGTCAGGAATACAAATGAAGAGAACAGCAGAGAAACCTTTTAAAAATACAACCGCATACAGACAAGAAAAAGCATCTGGGGAGACACATAATGAGTAGATAGAATTTCTTTGGAAAGCAGATCTATGTGATCCAGGGAAAGCAGATTTCATGTTAGTGGAAGGAAGCTGAACAGAGAAGAAGGAAAAGCTGGCATCCATTTTACAGTTAAGAGCCTCTTGTTCAAAAAGTATTTTTAAGTCTATGGTTCCTTAGTGATTCTTCATCAGATATACTTTAAGTTTACCTTCTGTTCCTACACCAACCAAAAGCAAATGATAATCCTTTATTGTGTATCTTGAGGACAGTAATGTCAGCAGCTAAGAATCACCAAGAGCAGATGGTAATTCACCCCGGAATACTAAAGAAATTCAAGGATGAAAAAGCTGAATAGCTGTGGTAAATTTCTGCATTGGCTCATGATGACCGGAAGTTCGAAAATGTGAAAACATTTTCTTTTAATGATTCCAGAAGACATGTGAGGACTGCAGGCTGGGAAGAATATATTTATATTCTGTTGCATCAAGGAAATTCATAGAAATGCTAAGAACAGAATTAGAGGACACATGGGTAAATGAAATACACCCAGGAGAAGTCAAGACACCTTACGTAAATGGCAGTCCTGCTTCATAATCCTGCTAGAGTTCCCCAAAGGCATCCGGAAGCATCAACATGCAAGTATGTAGAGATCTCCACTATAGAACTGAGGGCTTTGCACAAGGATGTGTGCCAGGACTGAGGCTTTTCCAACATAATTATAAACATCCCAGAAAAATGCAAGAGGGGAATAGAGTTTGATTAAACTTGCTGGTGGTATAGACTTGATCAGGGTTGAAAAGACAACAATCTCTGTAAAATAGCAGTGAATTAGATTGTTTCCCCATTATTTCAAAAGGTATGAGCAAGTAGGGGTTGCAGCTAAGGGGAAAAAATATGAGAAGAGTAACAGAATGAATTTAGGGGACAACAGTGAAATAGAAGAGAAGGATGTGAGGTCAAAGAATTAAAACTGAAAACAAGGGAAGAGAAGGGGACATGACAGAGTACTTTAATACAGACACTTGTGGTCTGATTCGCAGTATTCCTTTCTTTTTATGTGTAAATATACTGACACACAGTTTCTGAGACATGAGTTACTGCCAAAGAAAACAAAATTAAAATATCCATTTAGTCTATAACTATAAATCTAGCAGTAGCACATAAGAAGGCAGCATAAAATTAAGCAGCACTATCTGTTATCAAGAAGAAAAACGGTCTTCCTTGAATCATTTTACACACTAAGAACAAGCTCTGGCAAATCTTTAAAATTTATTTTTGGTACTCTAACTGCAGCTGTTACACATGTAAGTGTCTTAAAGCAGTAGGAAAAGACATACAACAGCAATCTAAAAATTTTCTGCTGGAAAAGCATAAATGTGTTTGGTTTAGGAAGCACACATTAAATTCAAGTCTACATTGCAGCCCATTATAAAGTCACCCTGTACCAGCCACAGCACATTTCACTTTGAAATTGTCCGTGAAGCTTTTCCAATCTAGCCCTTACACTCCCCCATGTGGTTGGTTGTTAAATAGCAGTTTTTTCACTCTGACCCCAGATACTGACAGCACAAAGACAAGGCTCACAGCCACAGAAAATTAAAGTTCGAGCTGAAGCCAGTGAACGCGGAGGGCAAAGCAGAGTGTGACACGCAGCACAGCACTGTCTCAGTTCAACAAACCACAGTGCCAGGACGAACAGGAATCACAGGGCCCAAACTTTGTTCTAACAAGACTAGGTTCCCCTTCACGCCTTTAGCTCAACTTACTTTATTTCACATTTGTTTTAAGCAACTTAAGCACATTTCCCATCCACGTCTCTCCTTTTCTAAGTCTATTTTAATCTTTACATACAATTTGGCCTCTTCAGCTTAAGGGAATCTGTGCAACGCCATACATGTTTAAAAACACTCAGCTCTCCTGCAGCCAAAAGCAAGCCCAAAGGAGTACCAGCACACCTGTAGAAATCGCTCTCCGGGTCACTGTGCCTCAGCTGAAATGGCATTTTGGGGGTCTTGCTATCCAGAGGAAGAAGGTCGTCGGGGAGCGGCGGAGAGGCAGGGCAAGGTGGCAGCGGCTCATTCTCCTCGGTCTTGATGCCCTCCACTTGCTGCTGGTTCTGGGCCTGGGCAGCAGCGATGAGGCTGCGCAAGCGGCGGTTGTGCTGGATGAGCTGGATGGTGTGGATGGTGAGGCTGCAGGGCTCCGACGGGATGTCCAGCATGGTGGTGGCCCGCGGCTTGTTGGCCGAGGGCTGGTGCAGCGGTGGGTCCTGGACCTCCACGGTACGAAACTCGCGCTGGAGCAAGTCAAAGGAGCTGCGGTTGGCCTGGCCGCGATGAGGCTGCGCAAGCGGCGGTTGTGCTGGATGAGCTGGATGGTGTGGATGGTGAGGCTGCAGGGCTCCGACGGGATGTCCAGCATGGTGGTGGCCCGCGGCTTGTTGGCCGAGGGCTGGTGCAGCGGTGGGTCCTGGACCTCCACGGTACGAAACTCGCGCTGGAGCAAGTCAAAGGAGCTGCGGTTGGCCTGGCCGGCGGACACGGGGATCTCGCCCCAGTAGCGCAGCATCGTC